AATGACTTCTTATCAGTTACGTGCCATAAATTAATCGCTCGCAAGCCATACGATCAGTTGAGCAATGCTTCCTCGATATTAGGACGCTTTTCAGTTCGTCAACAGTCGATGCTCAGATCCTCCACCTAGCTCATTATCAGAAGGCAACTACCTCAATGCTGTGGAGATTTTTCAAATTCAGCCTGAGGACACTTTTCGAGTACATTACCAAGCCGACCTGCTTAACAGGCACTCTTCGAGAACTTTTATGCTCCCTTTACTATTAACTAATCATGGGGGCGACCTGTACAGTCTGACGGCGGCCACCCAATGCACGAGCCAGTGCTCTCCTGCTTTCAAGTTAGATACTGATTATTCGAACGCGGAGGGATAGAATGCTTGGTTGGTCTGGGCGAGTATCGATCTGGAACTTGACCAGTGAACCACGCCTGTGAAAGAGAGCAATTTCTCACTATCCTGCCTCATTTACAAGTTCTTTCTTAACCCATTGGCGACCGCGCATTTTATACTGTCCTTACATTAACTTTCAATTTCTTTCATAACAGTAGTTGGGAATAAATGATTTCTGGACCACAATGCCTCAAGATTCTTTACAAGGCTGTGAGCTCAGCTGATACTTGAAAACATGAAAAAAATTATAGTAACACTTGATAAACAATAAAAACACTACGGGAGCACGATACGGTTTGGCCCGCCAGCGGGCCACGCGGTCGTCAATGGGTTAAGTACCTAAGGCTTCCCAGCTTATAGTTGAATTTATAATGAACTGCTTCTTATTTAAACGTAAGATTCGCTTCAAAGTGTATGATGGTTACGCTATGGGAAGTTGAGGCAACATAGAAAATGGAGCAGCCAGAATTCCAAGAGGAATTAACGCTGGAAGGAAGGTCCCTACTTCCCCAGTGATACCGGCATAGCGATTAGAACTGCTGGGTAGAATTCGAGGTCAACGTTACCTTGAATAACTTTTTTATGAATTTGTTTGAACCTGGGCTGTGGCTGGATCTTTGCCTACTTTTCCCACCTTTGTCCGTCTCATGAAGGATCTATGAAACAAGTCAAACAAAAGCATTTAGGTGGCTAAAAGTGAATTCTAAGAAGTTCCTGAAGAACTGATTCGATCTTGAACAAGGTACTGCACAAGCCTTATAAGCACACCATGAGGTTGACTGATTTCGAAAATTAATTTACTCACGGCAAGGGCGAGGAAAAACAGGGGTGAACTTTTTTTGCTCTGTTTCTCTTTCAGGCCTCCAATTCTCTATGGTTTACAGCGTACTTCCAATATTTGTTCAGTAGCTGCCCCATTGTTGTCTCGACTAGTTGATACTAAATTTTGATTCACCGCTTCTTTGCTGGGCTGCCACTAATTAAACTAAAAAACCCCGGCCGCAACAGTCAATGAAAACGGGTGTACCCACCCTCCCAAGACCTTATTTGGGAGGCACCGTTCAAGGTCTAAAATTTTCAGAGCGTGACATCAGTTCATGACTATACCCCTGCGAATGGGAAGTCTCAGCTCTCTGGATTGGAGTTGGTTGTGAACGACCTCTACACTACAACCCTCTTGCTAGACCATCACCAAAACATAATTCAAAAAAATAGTTCAATACACCTTTTATTATCTGTTTCACCAGGGATAATCGAATCACCTCTCAAATCCAAACATCTCGACTGAGGAACTTTATCAGCGATACTCATGATGATTGAGTGGGATATAACAATCGCCATGAGCAGCGGAACGGACTCGAAAAAGCAGTGACTACTCAGACTCCTGGACTCGGTCGACCTTCGATCCCCGGAACATGTGTCTGTTAATGCGCCAACACACATCACACCGACTCCGTTCACAAATAACGTTAAAAGGATAAAAGATAAAGTCCTGGAGCATTAATCAATCCCGTCTGAGGTATGCACCCCCTCATTCGATCTCTATTCAGAATCCTAGTAGCGTAATGAACGCTCCGTGGCCTGTGGCCTATACAATGACTTGCAGGGCCAGCCGATATAAGTCAGTGCTTTTATCCTCCCAGACGAGTCTGATACTAATTAATCGGCCCAGGAAAGTGGAAGGCTTGGTTGGTATAGCCAGATAAGTCTCGAACCTGAAACATACCTGTCGCTCACGTATGGTGGGGGATAGATGGAAGTCGGGACTACTAACAAGAATCCGCTACCCTTTGTCAACTTTGCTCTTATCACGTCCACTGACGGCTGATTTTTTGAGACAATAACCACTAGGCACAATTCTAGAAGTCAGTTCCTAAAATTCACTTCACCAACTCTGCCTGGTACCGATTCGACAATATGGTAATATGCTTGTTTGGAAAGAGGAAAGCACTGTTACACTGGCTGGCCCACACAAATCATTTTATAAGCCACATGCACATTCAGAACCTCACTACGAATCTGAACGAAAGTCGGAAACGCCTCTCACAAAAGGTATTCATCGAAGTCAAAAAACTTCTTTATCTCTTACTTAGGAGTCCACCCTTCACGGAGGAATCGAAAGAAATTGACTTCGCTTTTCTTTTTCGCAGCTCTGCGAACCTCTATTGGATAATTGGATAAGTACTAAAAGTAAAGCTTAAGCTCTCATTTTGCATGGAATTAAATAATCATTTCCTCACCATTAAAGAACGCGTGTATTAGCCGAAAACATCTTACCCGGGTTTGTTCTGTATGGAGATTGAGTTTCAGCACGGTTAGCGATTGTCAAAAACAACACTATGTCTGGATGATGCAGATTATGAACCACAAGCCTTATATGAATATCGAGCAATTCATTTTACGAAAGTCCATGTCATGCGTCAATACGTAGCAATTCTAGGCTTCGAAAGAAGGGTCTTTTTTCCGCAACTACATGTTTAACCAGATCATCGAATGGAAGGAAAAACGATGCCGTTCGTATAGGCTCAAAAAGCTTATATAGTCAATGAATAGCCATAACATCACACAAAGCCATTGGCTCCAATTTTGTGGATCAAAATTGACGATGGCACCATCTTAACGCATCTGACGATGTGCACCTTACTATACTGTCAGAAATACATACATGTGTATTCCTACCTCGTTGAATGGTCTCCACGGCTTCTACTTTCTACGGACTCCAGCATGGAACGGTCTTGAACCCTTCAGAAGGTAGGTGGGTTTACAAGATTGACAATCCAGCATGACCACCTTTTACAGCGCCTGAAAAATCAGCCAGGAAATGGTTAACCTATAAACTTCGTCATAGCCCTCTGAACTCCGAGAGCTACAGGTCACGCAACTATTGGATACCCGAAAAACATTCATGAATAAATGAATAAATAAATGATCAAGCAAGAAAATAATAAATAAATAAATAAATAAATAAACCCCATTGTTTCATTACTGTATTACCTATCACAAAAACAGCTCGAAAACCCCATTTATAAGATACGATCGGCGATAACTACCGATATGGTGTCAATCATTCACGACGCAAGGCGGCTCCATCTTCATGGTCCTTCAAAACGGTTTCTCGAACTTCTTTGGGAAGGGATTCCAGGAGCTCAAGAGAGAACTGTACACTGACAACTCTTGCCATATATGAGAAACCCTCAGAAGCCCTTGAAAACCATGGAAGACAAACACTTTCTCTCCCACTCGCCGACAACCGTTGAATGTTCCGGAACCAAAAAAGCTCACGTGAGAACCCCAATGAGGTTCTGACGTTACCAGAAACATATGAACAAACATTACTAACATGAATCTGAAACAATACGTGGGTGGAATGAAGGAGAACAAGCTTGTACACGGAAAAGCTAACTATCCATGGATGACATGCTCTCTACAGAGGCACCTGAATACAGACACACATTGATGACATATCCTTTACTGACATCGGGATAAACCATCGTTCAAATGGCTATATAAAGATGATAGTACAGATAGCTTACGACGACCCTCAATATCCAGGGATTTCTTTTTTACGAACTTCTCACAGCTATTTGCTTTTAATTTCTCGGTTCTTTTTTGAGTTCAGGTTTCTAGAGGAGAGATGAGGGAGATGTTGGTGGTATTTCTGGCGATTTTCGCCTTGGCTGAAGCTCAATTCAAATGCAAAAACATGGATGGAAAAGATGTTGACTGGTCAGTATGCCCCAACATTCGCTGAAGACACGTCCCAGTTACCAACTTCATGCTGAATTTGGCAAATGCTCCTCCTTCATTCAGCCTGTCTTAGGTTCGCAGCGATAAAGCTACCAGCAAACATTGACGTTTGGAATGGACGAGGTTTTGTTTATTTCGACTCAACCTACAAACAGTTTGTCTTGAGTGAGAATCCCCTGAACAGTACCAAATCCGCTATCGGTGCAACACTCAGTCAGCTATACAGTAGCGACCCTGTAAGCATCCTTAACGTATAACAAAATAAACGGCCCTCAATCAGAGGCCAATTTCAGAAGACGACAGCCAAAATTGCATATAATGATGACTGCCCCGGAAAAGAGGTAGACAGTGGTCGTGGCCACAGCAAAGGTGTTGCAGTATTCGGTCTTTCTGGAGGATTCTGGCTTATACACAGCGTGCCCAACTTCCCTCCACCAGGTGAGAGACATATTTGCTAAGCTGAACCACTTCTTGAACTAAGCTTTTTATGGATTGTGCGTCCAACTTAAGATATCTCATATTAGTATATATGCATATAGTAGGCGGGTGTGGTATAGTGGCAAGTGGCGCACGATCACACACGCCCGCTTCGCGGTTCAAGTCCCGTCTAGACCATCCAAGTCTTCCGCCCTTTGCGATTGGTTAATTGGTACCATAATCATGTGGGAGGTTAGAAGCACTACCTCGTTCGCCCAACGGGGCCACCGCAATTCCCCGCATAGGCCGCAAATGCATTCGAATCGCCACTACGATTCTGAATAGAAGTTGAATGCGAGGCGTACTCCAAAAAAAGGAGTCGATTATGACTTCATCTTACATCTTTCATATTAATATTGGGATTAATATTAATTATTTGGTATTTCGAACTACTTGCAGTCTTCCAGCAAAATATGATTATCCGGAAACCGGTACCAAGTATGCACAGTCCTTCCTCTGCCTAACCCTTGGTATCGATAATCTTGAAGATATCAGTCAGTACATGAGATGGTCCCAAGTGACACCATTCATAACGAATATGCCAGATCACTTCAAATTGCTGTGAGTTGTCGTGAGCCTAAGGATATTCCTCGCTATGCTAACTATATCTTTTAGAGCACCGCACTTTGAAGACGTGATCAACAAGAAATCCCTTGGTCGATCAGACACAAAATTCACCCTATCGCTCAACTTCGAAACTGTTATGCATAAGAAAGTCAATGCATTTGCAAAGCATAAGAAGTTTGGGGCAGGTCTTTTTTCAGTTTCTTTGCCCTCATTCTTCACAAAAAAAAAACTTTGCGGGAAAAAAACTTTTCTAGACCTTTGGCATGACTTCATTGCACCCTCCCTTGGTACATCTATGGCAGTGGAAACGTGGAGAAATGGTGCTGCGAAGGATGTTGGTACACAGTGCGGTGCTGGCTCTAAGAACGTAAGTGTTCTTTATGCCGGGGCGAGGTGGTGTGGTGGAAAGTAGGCAGAGTACGCATTCAATACGCTAGCGCAATCTCGAATGGAAGTCGAATGCATGGCGTTCTCCAAAACGGGATTGTTCGATGCCAAAGACTTGTCCTTTTTATTTATTCAGAATGCCATGACTTGCAGACATTGGAATACTCATTTCCAGGTTTACGACGTCACATCGGTGAACCTGTTCGGACTCACATATGCCAGTTCCAAGGATCATTCTAAGTGGGGTGTGTCTATGGAGGAATCTACACCAACTGTATGCATTGGAGACGTGAACAGACAGGTATCTCGCAGTGTTCGGGAAGAGACTATGTGATCGTTACTGGCCACCTGACTTTCTGATGAGGGATTTATTACAACAGGAATCTCAATTCAAACGAGGAGGCGGTGCTGTCTGTATCCGAGATCAAGATTTGTGGAAGGCATTTAAGAAGGCAGTAGGCTCCTTCAACGATTGTGGTGTTGTTCCAGAAAAGAAATCATCAAAATCTAAAGGTAACGATTCCATTTAGTATATTTCTCTTTAAGGGTAAATACTCACGGAATTGTTTAGATGCCAAAAAAGCAGACAAGAAAGCTGGAACGACCGGGGAAAAGCCCGAGAAAAAGACCAAAAAACCAAAAGAAGGATCGGCAAAACCGGAGCCCAAGAAAAAGCAGATCAAAGAAAAAAATTAACGGAAGATTCTTGTATACACAACTTGAAATGGTAAAGATCCCATCGCACTTTGTTCCGAAAGAAAAGAATTTTGCACTGGGTGTATTGCCACCTTCGTGAAAGCTTGTATGCCAAAAATGATTCGCAATATCCTCATCAAATGGGCGGAGGTATAGTGGCAAGCGGCGTACTATCACGTATGGCCACAGGTTCGAATTCCGGACGAATATCCACCTAAGCCAACCAGGACTTTCATCACTACGGGTTCTGTCAATTGGTACCAGACTCGTCTGGGTGGATCAAAAGCTCTGACTTGTACATCGACTGGCCACGGCAAGTCATTGTATAGGCCATATACGCATTCAATACGCCACTCTGTTTCTGGTGGAAGTCCCGAAGGCGGGTAACACCCGAAAATTATACACTTCATCCCCATGGAGCGACATTTCATACATCGGCTTCGTTCAGTCGTAGGCTGTAGATACCTTCACTGGCCCTGTAAATTGCACCAAGTGACCCGTCTCAGACATACGACAGAAAACCTGTGGCGAGGCAGAATTAATGCCGATTTACAGTTTTTCTACTTTTTGTCTGAGGTGGGCCACCTGATTTATTTTACAAAACCAGAATAGATATTCACAGCTGTGCCTAAAGGAAGTTAGGATTAAAAATGTCGCTCGATGAGCAGAAATTCTGACAATTCTCGACTACTAGTCTCCGTCGAAGGCGACAAAGCCCAATCATTGGCCGAACAGTCTTATAGCATCTGAGACTTCACGATAACACCTGAGACATGGAACTATCATGCTAAAACCCCCTGAAAATTGATCATGGTGTCTTTTGATGCCATTCAATATTCACCAAACAAACGGGCACTGAAAGAAACCAGGGAAAAAGCTAGCTGTAGTAAGAATTGAGGAAGTGTTTTTGAGAAATACAACTTCCGTTATCACAAAATTTGAGGGAATTTAGTTTTAGACGAATGATGGAAATGATAGTTCAGGACAGTGCAAACGTGGCGGAAAACGCAAAAATTGATGTATTCAGAGAAAAATGAGGCTTCAAAAAAGCAGCAAAAATAGGGGTTGGACGAGAATGTGACGGTAAAATAGCATGGAAGGGATATTCGGACGAGCTGTCCAAATGCGTGTGCAATTGCGTACAGCTGGCTACAGTGTGCTGCTTGCGTGCAACGTGTGCGTCCCGGCATGAATGGTGCAATTTCTATAGCATCTACAACGGCATGTAAGCTTGTCCGCCTTTGGGTGTGTATGTCGGTTAACCCGGTTTTTGGGCCACTTTTACGCCCTGTCTAAGCCGTTTTTCGACCAGACAGTGTCCCCTGCGCTGTCCTCGGGGTTCACACGTGCATCCCAGGAAGATATCCCAGAGAACATTTCCATCGTAAAGTCCGACTGTAATTCAATCTCGATGACGAACAGGATGACTTCCTTAAGTCGCTTTTGCCACACAACTTGCCCCGCATTCAATAAAGTGCCCCTCTATCGCATCCGCAGGTGTGTACGTCGTTCGGGACATACAGCAACCACTCATTTCGTATTACTGCAGTGCGGATATGACTCAGTGTCTCGTGGCGTCTCGCTTTGTTTGTTGAATTCGACCTCTTCAGAGAGGTGCGTTTTCTCTGGAATTCAACTCAAACAGCTGGATAATAGAGTCACATAAAAAGAGCTCGAGTAAAATTTTGAAAAGTCAAACGTCTACGATCCTGCCCAATACTTCTCAGTCAGAAGATAAATTCCATATTCTTTGGTATCCTCATCGGGGAAGAAGTGTGCTCACCAGTCTGAACCTAAAGCTCTTTCTTCCATGGCAGGAAACGAATGAGCGTATTGCCACGCTTCACCTCCAAAAAGAGGGACCTTGTAGAAAAGGAGATCCCAAGAGGAATAGAGTATGAAGCTGTCGATGAAAATTTCGCCTAGCGAACGGCAGCACGTTGCCATGATCTTTCATCCCTCCCTCCACCCGGTTCCTTTCTTGTTTCTTTTCCTTCACTATTTTTTCGTCAGAGGAGACTATCCAAGTTTCGAAAACGTTTGAATTTCCAAACCGAGAAGAGCGAAAAGAAGTTTTGAAAGGAAGACATGCCTATCGTAAGAACATCATCCGCTTACCTTTTCACGACTACGGGTTGATAACGGGCGCTTGCATCTTGTACATAACGTTTCATGATAATCTGAAGTAGCAAATGAAAGCTCAGTCGAAAGGTATTCTCGATTAGGCAATAACCTATTTGTCTGTCACTGCTAAGAAAAGAAGTACGAACTAAATGTAAGACCTGGTCCAAATGATCACTCCACGCCCCGCTACAACACTCATTACGTAGGTTGCCTTTTATATTTTGAGATTTGAGAGCCGAAACAAATACTATTTATTGAAAACCGGTTTACTGCCTTTCAAAAATCTCCACATCAAGATCTATATACTTTTGTATGG